AAGCCCTGAAACGGGCGACAAGAGCGATAAAACGCGAACGAAAACGATGGAGGAGTTTGCATGAAGATCATGCGTAGGACGCGAAGACACGATATCTTCTTGTGTGCCACATCACGAAAGACGTACGAACCGATTCGATTCACATTCATGACTTTCTAACGATCCGGGACCAAGTGTCTCGAGTCCGCGTGTAAGCACACACACATACGTTCGTGCGAGGACAGTTTGCGAGGATGCCTCGACGCGGCCGTTTAAAACCCGTCCCTCCCCCCACCCCGATTCCGAAACATGCACGGTTTCTTATGAGTTTCTTATACGCCTCTGCGACGCTTCTTGTTAGCGTAAATTACGCGACGAGTACTTATCAAGACTTCCCTCGCGATTCGGTTGCTAAATAAGCGTATCAAAGCGAAGCTAACATCGCGATTCGCTTCCTTCCTCGAACCGCGTACACCGTTCGACTACATTCTGGACGAGAAACGAAGACCGGACGCTAATTTTACGGCCGCCCTTGCTCGCTTGGGCGAGGAAATTCCCAGGAAAGTGAAGACACTATAATTTTACTGCTGCACCTGTCGATTATTTTAAAGGAACGTTGCTCGAGTCGTTGGTAAACACGAGTGGTTGAAGGAATTTGATCGTCTGTTATATTTATTTATTTCAACGGACTCTGGTCCATTTATAGAATGTTAAATACAGTTACTTCCTATTAGATTCGTACACTATAATGGTAATTCACTATAAATGGAAAAAACAGACTTGTTTCATGGCACGTTGGACCTATTTGTTCTCGTCCAATCACAGAGGTTAACCGGTGTTTGACGTGGTCAAGTACAGCACTTTGGGATGGATGGCCGTTTGGGGAAAAAATCAGTTTTGTTATGTAAGAAAATTACGTTGAGAAGGAAGAGAATCGATGGTCTAGGGGTAATCGGGAAAAGAAACACACTTACCGCCGAACTCTGTCTGTTTACTTTTCCAAGGCTTCGCAAGCACTGACGCTCTCATTAAGAGTCCGTGCTATTTATTTTATATACCACGGGTTTTGTGTATATTGCCACCTATATTATAACCGCGGCTATTTTACGAAAGTGAGGCAAATATTCGCCTACAATTGGAATTATTATTATTGTATATTGTTTGTATTCATCCTCTGTATCGGATTTGCAATTGGGAGCATTATTACCCGTTAATGTATTTAAAAAACTACTTCGTAACATAGTATAATTGAAACAAAATTTAATAAAAATAAATGGAAAGAATTCATAAAGAAAACAGGTTTGCGTTCATTTGTAGTGTATCAATCATTTGTAGTGTATGAATACGAGTGGGAGTAACTGTATGTTGATGGATTATAATAACACTGATAATCGTTATTGCACCAGAACGGGGAATAAAATGAAATAACTAACTGCATAGTAATGCTTTAAATTGTTATTATTCTAACCTGAGCAACTGCAAAGAACCGAAGAAAAATATGATTACGAAACGTTTGACAACGAGGGTTCCGGTTTTACGAGGTTGTACGCGTTAAAAACGGTGTCCTATCGTTGAGTGTTTTCCTAGTCAGACGCAGTGAGTTCACGCGGTGATTGACGACGAAGGCGTACCCAAAGGCATCGTGACGAATCGCAGATAGCAGAAGCACGAACGGTACAATTTACAAGGTTTTCTAGTTCGTAAATACCGTATCGCGTCGCGACGTCTCGAGATTATCTTATAAAGGATACCGCGAACTGATCAACGGTGAGAGCGATCCTTCGGTATATCCCCGTGGAATTATAGCATCGATCCTTATCTAGATCTGGAATAGTGCCGCGGAACGTACGCTCACTTTCGTTCGAACGTACGGCGAGAAACTATCGCCGAGAAATGTAAATAATTGCCGCGAATACTGCGTACTTAATTATCGCGGCGCGTTTGGCAGCCGGGATTTATGATCTTCAATAAAGACATGCGTTTAGACTAGCACGGTTTAATTGCTCGTTAATGATGCGTAGTTTAAATTTGTATACCGTTTCGCTCCGACGCTGGCCTGGCTTTTAGACAACTCTACAGCCATTTTCTCGTTTCCATCGGGGCTCGCAGATAAGATTCGATACCTTATCCGTACTTGTACTACAGAGTGTTTGTCGATAGAGCAAAGAAAACGACCACTAATTCTCGTTCTCGGACTAGCTGTTCCTACTTCACCTCCCGACACGTTCTTTCGAAGACCGTGATTAGACATTTTAAGCACTTCTGCTCGGTGTGTCCATAAAACGGTTTATTATTTTATTTTTCCGTTCGTGGAAGAATCCCTCGCAAGTTGTGAAAACACGGGGTTATGGGAGACCATTGTTATGTAATTTAATTCCGGAGCAATTTGCGTGACTCACCTAGTATATCAAAGTAGGTACTGGACACCTAACCGATTGCAAGCAACAAAGCCATTCGAGTAGGTGTCGTTCCAACTGTTTTGAGCAACATGTCGTCAAACATCGATTCATGCGACACTCTGCGATCGCGAGTCGCATACCACACCTGCCAATCCGAGAATAATGGCAACCATAAATTACTATTTCGAGATTAAGGAACAGGTGCTTCGACTATTGGATTTCAAACTTCGTTTAAGAAATCGCCCATGTACGATTTTGGACTAATGCTGTCACATTCTTCAAACGCACGAATTTGATAATTAATGATGAATATCGTTCATTAAAACTTCTTACCGAATTCGAAATATAGCCAAGGTACTTTTAAGGCTGAAATGCGATTTCGGGGCGTTTGCCCTACGAAACGGGGCCACGTTTGGAGACGAGGAGGCCCCGGAGATAAATTCCAGACGCAAAGAAGACCGTGACGACTCGATCCGCCAGCGAGAGTATTCGTATTCGGCCCGTAGTCATCCTCGAATCCGACTGGACGACCGATCGAGATGCTCGAGGACTCTCTCCCTCGGGTCCCCTCTCGTTCTCGGTTCGAGTGTTCATGTATATGCATGACTAGGTAGATAGCCCCGCAAAAATTTACAGACCTGACAGCCTGACGTTTCGAGGACCGTGGCTCGCGAAGGCCCCAACGATAGCCGGGCCGCATGATCGGACTTGACAGTTCTCGAGGAACCACGTTACGCTTCGAAACGGGCCCCGAAGATCGGTCAATGTTTTTGGAACGTCAGTAAAGGTGTTCCAGAGAGGTTTCTTGTTCTTGGTGGGAATCGTGCGTGTTATCGGAAACGGCGCCAGCCGAATGGATCAACAGACAATGAGGATTCCTCGAGCGGTGCGTCAGAGGTCTGACCTGGGCCCAAAGAATGCAGGAACGCTCTTGTTTTTAATGAAAATACAATTCGAGTGGGACCATCTAGAGAAAATTTCTTGGACAACGTTCTTTGATTCAAATTTTGTCGCGATTCAGATTCTTCTATCTAGTTTTTAATTACTGTTTTACTTTGATAAAAGTTTGCAATTGCGTGTATCTTTAAGAGAAAATTGACCGTAGGTAAAGAGTCGTTTAGATAATCGATCTTCCAGAGGAGTAAAAATACAAGAAGAATGGTCTTCCGTGTCGGTTACAAAAAGGAACAATGGCTGAACAGCGAGCAATTCAGAATCGTCGGTGTCTGTCGAGTGTGAGTGACCAATGTGACAGGCTAATAACTTCGCGGAGAAAAAGCAACCGCCGGAGAAGTCGAAGAAACTTATTCGTTGCTTCGTGAACTCCGCAAGAAAGGATACCGCCTGCTAACGAGACGGTAACGCTAAATTGTCTGAAATTAATCAATTCGCTTCTGCTCCTATCAGATCTATAATTACAGCATCGCGTTTAAGCTCCAATTATAAAACAATCCGTCGTGTCTTTGACGATGATTGAACGGGTACTTGAACGAATCGTTTGTGCGAACCGGAATATTAAAAATTCTAATTCGAACAGGTTCTCTTAATTACGATTCATAAAAATTGCAACCCTTCGTCACGTTCTCAGAATTTAATTTCTATAATTTAAATTAAATATATAGTCTCGAAGTTATAAAATGGTGTGCGAACAAGAAACGAGTTTTCTTTTTAATTTCATCCCTGTTCGAGAGCTGTAAAATTTGTTTTCCTTGTCGTGGGACAAGTTTCGCTGGCGGACGTATCAGCCGTGAAAATAAAGAAACGATCGAGGCGTGCGATCGCGAATAGCTTCACGTTCTCCGCGGAATTTCGCCTGAGGGATAGAAGCTAGAGAGTTCGCGAGAGCGAACGAGAAAAAGGGGGAGAAAGTGTGGACACGAGGAACAGAGAGGGGTGCAGGGTCGATTCTAGCTTCGAGGGGTCATTATAGAACTCTCCTAACGGGCGCACCGTCTCCGCGCTGATGCCAGACTGTCTGGATTGACTGATGTCAGGTCATTCAAAGCTTCCTAGGCCTCCTCGTTGCCTCATCGCCGCGTGGATGTCGAGAGGAGGCTGAACAGTTCTAAAGATATTGCGCGACGGATCTCGATACGCCTCATTACGCGAACGACTTTCAAAAGCAATTAAAACTGGCACGCTGAAACCTATTCCCGCGACTCGCCGTGGCCACTCGTTAATTTTCGAGACGCTGATGCAACCCGATTCGAGCTACGCGTGCCTCTATCCGCAAGTTCGACGATCCTTTGTTCGCCGCGAGAGAAATTTGCTGATACGGAAGAAAACTCGTTCCGAAAACTACTACGAGAGAAAGCTCGACGGGAGATATCGTAACGACGGGGTGGCAATTCAAACCCGTAACAATTGAAACTGCTTTTCAGAATGGTTGATGTTTCACTCTGAGACGCGACTGTAACGTCGTAAACACGATGATTACCACCGGTGGTCACCTACCACGTGTCGATCCTTCGACATTTTGCTCATCGACAATTGGAAACTCGTAAATCTAATATTTCTGTTGGTATTTAATTTCTTTGATATCCAAGCCTGGGAATCTTTTTAGTTTCTCTAAAGCTTGCAATAAACTGAATATTTGTAAATTTTTTAATAGTTGTGACTCACCTGTGCGTACTCCGCGCAACTGTCGATCGATGACACGTAATTGACGACGTCCTCGATGGTCCATCGATTGACAGCCTGCCCATCGCCGCAGGGCATGTGGCCGCAAAGGGACGGACACCTCACAGGGGGTGGTGTAGTGGGCCTAGGGGTTGGTTTCGGTTTAGGAGACACGCTTCCCGGTCTCCTGGTCTCCGCCTTCTGCCTCTTCCGCGGTGCGAATCCCCCGGGAGTCGAAAGATCCAAGGGACTCGTCACTCCTGCGTCTCTTTTGTTCGCACCTGAAGAAAAAATCTTTCCTACAGTCTCGAATTTAATTATTGAGTGTCTCGAATGGCCGCTAATTTATCGTTGTTCGGTAAAAATTGTAACATTGTGATTCTAAAATAAACTGTTGGATATTGTATGGAAACCTAGTTTATCGACTGATATATGGACGAATTATTACCCAAATCGCGACATCTCACATCGGAATGTATGTATGTATGTTTTTTCCTTATGTATTGCGATGAGCCATGCTTAGGCGGACGCTCACTCTGTCTCTAATTACACATGTGTGAAGACCGCCATTAGTCGAGTGTTATTAGCCAAGTGTGTCGATATTGTATTCGAAATATAGACAATTATTTGTGGCATAAATCCCTGTGCACTAAATAATCCAACATAAACAGTGTCTCATAAATTAAATAATTAATTTTTTAAGGTCGTCCCATTGATACTATCTTTTCTTTCAAACTGTTTTCAAGGTTGTACCATCCCCGAAGAGGGTCATTGAATATTATCAAACCAATCTTAACGATATTAATACGTAATTAAATAAATTTGATGAAACCAAGTTTATCTCGTATGGGGAAAAACCATGAAATTGGAGATAACGATTTTACGAATAGTTACCTTTAAGGTAGGTTTCCAGCTCAGCTGCATTCTGCGCGGCGTTCGCAGTCCTGACCATGTGCAATAGCGCCTGCGTCGACGACATATCGAGCATCGGCGGAAACACCGGGTTGCCGAAGAGGCTGTCTTGCTTCTGTTCCTTCGGGTCTTTGCTAGAAAGAGGTGAGGTGGTTGGTACAGTCGATGGTTGAGGTGCACCCAGAGGCGCCATCAAACCAACGAAGGGCGTCGCGGCCGTTTTAAACGCCGGAAACCTTGGATCTAAACCGGGAGGGTAGCCGTTCCTAGGTGAACTGAAGTAACTGCAATTTTGAATAACGTCTTCTGCTTACATTCGTCGACAATCATTTGCGATACTTCGTTTACCCTTAAATGCCAATTACACGGATATTCACCAACTATTTATAAAAGCTGAGTTACTTGAATAGAAATTTTGTATCGTACGAAAATACGAAAATCGAGACGCACAAAAGGAGTCAGAAACATATGAAAAGTTGAACTTGATTTTGATTTGTTCCATAATAATTTTCTAATATGTAGGATTGGAAGTCAATATTTACGAGAACATTTATAATTGCGCTCAACGCGAGTCCATAATTGGCTCATAAGTAAGAAAAACACGTGTATAAGCGTTTTTTGCGTTATTACATGCACCGTGTCGAGTCGTTCTTTACTCCGTTACGTAACGTCGAGTAATTCTGTAACTACAGAAGCACTTTAACATACGTCACTCCCATTAATTAACCGATCTGCATCGCGTCGAACGCGATATTATGCGCGAGAGTTTGGAAATTCGAGCTCCTATCCCGAACGAGATTTCTCTATCGCCTCTACGCTCGCCTAGGCGAACGTAATCGAAATCGTCGACGAGCGCATCATGACGAATCGTAAGCTCCTCGGTTTTCCCAGCGTTCTGCATCACGATAAGCGCATTATGCTTACACGTGGAAGGACGCTGGATATATTTATTCAACGAATTGGAACGACGAACGAGGCACTTTCTCCTCGAAATGCCACAGATCGCAAGCATCGCGAGGGCTTCCAGCGTCCTCGTCAAGCGGATCTATGCCCGATACTTGAATGATCGACCGAGCACCTTCTGCTCGACCCGTTCCTAGTGCCGGAAGGTACATAATTGAAAGTCGAATCGGCAACCGGTTCCGCGCGACAATATTGCACGAAACAACCACTCTCTACCCCCCTTCTCGAGCATCAATATTTCAAAGACACGTAACAAGACGATCAATATTTTCCCATCGTTGCTTTGTGTCCCCTGTCCGACTGTCCACCGGCACTAGCTTCGAGAATCGCCTCTTACGCGTTTCTACGTTCCCACGTATGCACACGGAACACGGAGATCGCATAGAAGAATGTCAAGGCAAGCGTCATGACTTCCAAGGTCTTGACGCTCTTCGCTAGACTCCGATAGATCTCTAATTGCTCGAACAGGAAGTGTCACGCGAATTCTTAGACTTTCTATACGTTCTCGCCACGAGTTGAACTTTCTTTGTCTTTGGAATTCGTCGTAGGTGATAAAAATAGTGAAAAGTTCTTGGAGCAGAGACTTCCTTGGCTATTAAAATAAATATTCTCGAAATTTGGTATAGAATATTAAGAGTAGATTTATGAGAGATCTAGATCAATACTCGGGATGTCTCAGACAATGTAAATTTTAGAAAAGAGGGAACTTACTCGTTGGGGTTGGCGTTATTGTACTTGGCAGCGAGCCTTCTCATGAAATCGCTACAATTTTGTTCCATCATCTGCTCCATGTGCTTGAGGTGGTAGGGTGGTGGTGGGCCCTCCGGTCCACCCAACGGGGTAGCATTTGGCGGCGTTCCTGGGTGGCTGGACGACGACGGCGTCACGCTCCTCGAGGACGTCGAATTATTGTCTGGCGTGAGACGCTCGGTTTTGACCTGAAACAAAATCACCAAACGATTGGACAAATATACAATACCCCTTTTCTCGAAAATACTACTCTTCTCATACACGTAGGGGGTGTTATTTTATCTATAATCGAAGCCAATATTCTCTTTCATACTTTTAATAGTCGAGAAGAAAAATAAATATTCAAGATTGAGACTTCGATTGCAAACTTTGAAATATAAAAATGATAAGAAGACGCCAAGGAATAGATCGAGAGTCATCGCGTATCGATTGGCACCGTGGACGACTGGCGTCCTTGGTCATAGAAGACGTCATCGCGAGCCCAGTTTGGTTTCGCTCGGGAAGCATCCGATCTAGCAGGAAATATCCCGGTGCATTAATTCCCGGGAACAGATTGCATCTGAGATATGGTAATGAAGGCAACGCGTGGCGTAAGAGTTGACTCCTCTTCGGCTGCGAGAACGCGGCGTGACACTAAGAAGAACGAGACTCGATTGGCGTAGAATAGGGTCCCGGAGGAGTCCGAGGAGCCGCTCGGAGAGGCCACGGTAAATCTCTTTCTCGCCTCGAGACCTCTTCCTGACAAGGGGCCGCTCCGGGTCTTGCGACGTAGACACGATCCCCGTGTATACGTTTCAAATGGCTCTGCTCTTCGTCTAGTTGCCAGTTTCTTGCGAAAGAAAACACCGAAGAGTCTCTGTGTTCTTTCGAACGGGGACTGAATCATGCCCCCCCCCCACTTTCTTTCCAATTTCCTTTCATCGATGCTAAATCGCTTTTCTCGACTAAGAACCAACTGAACTATTATCATTTTTAAATTTAGTTCGATGTTGAGACAGAACTTTCGTTAGTCTATTTAATCTATCGGAGACATAACTAGCTATTATTCCAGTAAAAGAAATACGAATCTAGTAAAGTCTCTCGTGTCTAGACTCCGTCTCGATCATCCTGAGATCTTCATTCGAAAAAGAATTTTCACTTATTTATTTAATTTATCGGAGAGATAGATATTACAGAATTTATTTTGTATAATAACTATGTAGCTATTGTTCGAGTAAAATCGACTGACAGAAATACGAATCTAAGTGTAAATTCTCTCGTGTCTAGCCTCTGAGATCTTCATTCGAGTTGCGACGAAAGATAGTAGCGATCAGCAACTTCCACGCGTCATTCTTTCTGGACGATGACCGTCGATGTTTCCTGGCCACCCTGTCTCTTTTTTTCGTTCACAGAAGCGTCGGACGGCTACACCGAATGTCAGCGACGGAATGACAGTGCAATTTCAGTTGACATCGCTGTCATAGAGCGGTCCGGACGGGTTCGAGGGGAGTACACGGCTGCCGCTTGAACCGGAGGCTCTTCTGCGAGAACCTCTTCCACAGCTACCCACACGTGTTCCCGATGGCGATCAAACACTCTAATCCACGGACGATACGCGTCTTTCGGGAATTTGTTAAAAGGTACACACAGCGAAAGGTATAAATCACACCATCTTGATTGCATTAGAATTATGGATAAAATAATTGAATAAAATTCTCTGTTATATCTGTCTTTCGAATCCCCAATTCCTATCTGCTGCTTGAGTAAACATTCACTTATTCTCAAAACCATGAAACGATTCACTCACACACTCGAGATTAATTTTTGTTTGGAACTAGAGTTACTTTTCTATAGATCGTAAGGATATTTTGTTTCCTGTCTAAGTATTTTGGAGACAGGATGTGTTTCTTCTAGTGTTGTCGAACTTACTTGAGTAGTGTTGAGACCATTCTGATTCTGCCGCCTTCGACTCCTGGGCGGTCTGGGGGTGGCCGCACCGGAGAGGTGGGCGCCCTGGGGGCTTCCGCCCCTGGCGTCGACCGCTGTGTTGGCGGCCAGGGTGGCCCCGTCGTTGTTTTCCGCGTGTGTGCCTAAATCGGTCGCCTCTCCACGATCGCCGCCACGTGGTCCAGAACCCGCGGAAACGTTTTCACCTGACACCTCACCTGCGGGGCACAAAACATCCCATCATCAATAAAAACCATCGTGACGGACTCTACGACCACCTTCGTTCGCACAGAATGTGATCCATAAATGTTTTAACCCCGTACAATGACGAGTCTATCCCAAGTTCTTGCTGTCAAGTTTCACAAGTATGAGGTACTCGTAAACTAAATCTATTCTTTTTTGTGGCCATTCCATGCACGAACAAATTTAACCCTTAAGTGGACTCTCAATCTCAACTGAATTATTTAACTTAATGTTGATTTTTACCAAATTAGTAAATGAAAATCAACTTTCCTTTAAAGCATTTAAAAAATAATGAACTAATGAAGGATTGCATAAATTTTCAAATAATTACATTTACCTATATTATTTATTTTAGATTTATTCCAGAAATTGGCCAGCTATAGTTCTTACTGTCATACGTAAATAAATCCATCGTAAGTAACACCGAAGTTTGATTCGAGCAAACAACTCTAAGAAGTGGGGATAGACTCGTGAGCATTTAAGCGGACAGATTCGTGGTCACACAAGCGGGCAGTACTGTACAGTGGAACCACGGTCGTTGCAAGAATTTGAATTCCTATTTCGAATCTTAATACACAATAGATAGGGTCAAGTGTAAAAATCTTGAGAGAGAGACTAAATAATATAAAGCAAATGTAAGGAGAGATACGACAAGGAGCTGTTATCGAATTTAGTCGACGGAAAAAACGATTGAAAAGGACGAATCGTGGTACGTTGGTCTCGCTCGTGACGCTGTTCGTCCGATTACCGAACGAGACGAGTTTAAAAGCCGCGTTTCCCGCGTCTTTGCGTCACCGCTAGATCCCCGGCTCGTATTTTGGCGCATCATCGTGCCGATAAATCCGCGCCGGATTGCACGGCCAGGCTCGTACGTTTTCCTCGCAACGGCGGGAGCCCGAGAGCCTCTAACACCGGTTTCGTAACGAGGCGGTAGCCGAGGGTACGTCGTAAAGCTTCCTTAACGTCGGCCCGTGTAAACGGTGTCTTTCGACACCAGGAATTTCGATGAAATACGTTAAGAGGGATAACCGTAGGACGCGATTACACGGTGGCTGAGAGCGCCGCTAGAACTGAGACGAGAGATTTACGCCCAATAAATGAACCCGTCCTGGCACCATTATCTACATGCTCGATCAGCGGCCGCGTATCCGCGTGAGAAGTACACAAGTTTTAGGGGCCCAGGGATGGAAGGGTGAGAGACCAGAGAAAAGGGGGCGGAAGACGAAAACGACGAGAGTCGCGGAGCTTGGAACGAGAATGAAGGGGGGAGGTCACTGGCCACATTAGCCACCAAAAATATCCAATAAATTCTTGCCGTCGTTAAATGACCGGAATTTTATGGCGGCTGTAACTCGCGCACATGGCCGAATTTGTTGGACGATAGGATCGAGCGCGGTTCGGATGGCTGCATGCGATACTTATCCTCCTCGCCGCGGCTAAAGACGCCTGCCATCATTTCGCCATCGATGCACACGTGTACCAGGTAGCGGCGAATTTGTTCCCTCGCGTTAACTTGCTCGCGATTAGAACGATCGCTCGGAAACTAGACGATATATGTGCACGGAGAACTCTGTCGCAAGTCTCCTTTTTAATTTGCGGTTAATTTTAACGTATAAGATATATTGATTCCAACGCTGTTTAAATTTACACCTCGATTCGAATGCAAAACAATGTATCTCACATTTTTGATAAAATCTTGAGACTATGTTTATAATGTTTATTTGACGTTTGTTTGAAAATTTTTATTACGACGTGACATTTCGTTTATCTCGTGTCGTCCTCTTCAAACACGGTGTTGCATCATGCTAATCGTCGTCCAACTAGTAAATAAAATATTCTTTTTCCTCGTGCAACTCATTTTTTTTTTTATCGAGAGTTTCATTGCGTACATAAATTTTCGTGTATATACAGCTGTACGTTATAACGCAACATCGTGTACGACGAGGACGGTAAGAGATGGTTTAAACGATAAACGATAAACTTTTTTTATCGGAGAAACATCAACGTACGATCGAGTCATTAATTAACGTAAACATCATTGCTATCGAGCACCGTGAACACGACCATCTTTTCCTCATTGATCGAAGGCGTTGATGGGTTAATCTTAATCTTTCGAATGCCCCAGGGAGGAAATAATAATGTTCAAACGATTGTATCAAAGTTCTTAGACGTCGAGCAAACGCTGGACCTAAATACAAATAATAGAACTCATTAAGTAACTTCATCAGCGAAGAAATGATCCAGATAAGTTATTTACTAGGATCCACGGCTAATGTTTTTAATCACGATTTGTGGTTATTACCGAACAAGGACATTAAAGTCTAAATAACAAAACAACTTTTCCAATTTCAATTTACTTGAATTTTACGTTACAGAATAAAATCTAAAGAGATTAAATTGCAGCGCGTTGTCGTTAACGACGTATCAATAAAAGCGTAAAAATACAGACTAATTTGTTTTTATAGCTTCTGTCTGGATAGAACGAAATCCTGAAATTGGTTTAGTTCAGCTACGATTGACAAAAAGGGTGTACAAGAACATCGATCGTAAAAGCCAATCCAGTGACAGTCATTATCCAATGACTTCATCGTTTCAACGCGGAATATTTACAGCTTCCCATGAAAATTCTATTAGATACTATCCTCCAACAGGAAAATGACTTTCATTTTTCTTGATACATCCATCTCGTGCCGCGTCGCGGACATTTACAGTCCCCGACCTTCTAAACGCTTAAGAAAATGAATTCCACATGTACTTTATGAGTTTTTGTTAATTTCCCTATTACGCGTACCGAGCCACGAACGTACAGAGTTTCCAGATCGATTTATCGCCTCGGTTGTCCCACTCGGCCTAGGAATGGGACAAAAAAGAAACCAATTAACCGCTATGGACGGTTAGAATTATTTCCGTTGTCGTCGCATGCAATATTTAAAAGCGCGGCGTTAGGGAATATAAAATTGTAAATTTTAATGGACCGCCGAGACTATTAACGTCGCCGACGAAAGAGATTAATCTCACGACGATCCTAACCGCGCGGCGTCGAAAATTCCTCCTGGGAATCGACGAATTAACTGCGGAATTTACTTTCGCGGATTCGCGACGCTGCTAGGATGCAATAACCAGCGTGAAACCAACGTAAACGGTACCAAATGGAACGAAACGCTGCGTAGGCAATGGAAAGCATCCTTAATTAAAAACTTTCTAGAGAGTTTCGACTTTTTGATTTAGACCGGCCGTAAGAAAAGCTCGTAAAACAATGTAGGAACGTTTCTAGCGCATACCTACGCGTTTCCTTCGAAAGATACATCTCGACCGCAACTTTTACGAGCGCGGTAGCGCGGCCAAGTCACGTACGACAAATATCATAACTCGAATTCCGGAACTCCCGAAGCGCCGAACTATTGTTTGCGGATCGTTTCTTCCTCTCTTCCTAGTTATTTGCGGATCGACTGAAAAATCGTCGACCACCTGGCACGTGAATTGTTTCTAAATCGCCAGGCTGTTTGTCTTCGAACATCTGCTGCTTCCATGTACGAGGAATTTCATTTTTTTCCTATTTAACTGTTTGACGAACCCTGATGCAAAATTTAAATTAAAAATAAACTTAACTCAATGCAATATAGATACGTTCAGTTCGTTGTGAATTCTCTCAAACGTGTTTCGAGATCTTAGATATCCGTTAATGGATTCGTAGATTAACTATACAGTCGTTAAAGTAAAACCAACGTTTTGGAGCCTGTGTATATGCATCGAGTCATTTTCAATAAAATAGTCAAGACTGGTGTTTGGACAAAGTTGGTCGAGCGTGATTATGCGATGCGTGCGTGATCGTGATCGCGGTGGCAATTTAATTTATAGTCTAAACGAAGGACGGTGACAGGCGACGAAGATTAATAGCGTCGGCGAAAATTTCCATTAACATTTTTGGTGAGGTCTCGTTAGAAGAAACAATTACGCTCGCATTAGGTCATTTAGTGCTTTACAGAATCGAGAAATAAAAATGGCACCAAGATGAATGGCCTTGCGAGATTTAGAAGTATGTCTTGTGGCATAAACGATCATCTCGTATTCCGAGAGGCTAGTTTCCATGACAGGTGAGTTTAGCTTCAAGGTGCGACGACACGCTATTGTTAGCTCGTATTAACAAGTAGTTACGATATTTCACACTCGAACCACAGTATTGTTTCTAAGACCAACTAGAACTTACGACTCGCGTGTATCACTGTCGACTTCGCGCAATCGAAGTTCGTTGTTTCGACTTCTAACGACTCCATTGTCCGTCGCGAAGAGAAACGTTTCAGTAAAAAATTGGATAAAAATATATTCACGGCGGAAAGAATAAGAGCGACGTAAAATCGTGGTTGTTATTTTTTAGTTATTTATTACCAGTGCAATTTAAAATTGGAGAAATGATGCATATATACCGTAGACATTTAAATACGTGGGCTTTTAAATTGGTAAAAATGGCCGCCCTCTGCCCGGAAACGAACCGGCTCAGCGAGGTTACAAATTACTTAATTATCGTACTGTCGGTCGAAATGCGCTTGAAACGTGGAAGAAAAGCTAGGGACACCCGGAACTGTTAGCGATGGGTGCCGGGCATAAATTATTTCGCGGGACTTGCGGTTAAAACGAATTGACCCTGGGGGTCAAGAATAGAGCGGCGCGCGACGGAAATAAAGACGGCAAAAGGTGTTCCGTTCGGTCAGCTAATTATTCCCGCCTCCGGGTGAATCTTTTCGACGTATTCCGCGCAAACATTTCGAGAACCGCTCGTACGCCGAGGAGAGAAAAAAAGGAATAATGGAGACGCTGTCAGGGCCGATGACGGATCGTCGCCACGGTCCTCTGCTCTCGCGTTCCACCGGACGCTGGGGGGAGGGGGGAGGAAAAAAACTACAATGACCAGAGTTGTCCACATTCGATCGTAATTAACGAGGAAAAAAGTAATTGACGCCGGGCGTCTTCTTCCTTT